GATCCGGAGTGAATGCAGAGAAGAAGGGGCCGACGTGATGCTGAGATTCGATCAAACCTACATGCCTCTCTTGCTTATGAAACTCGAATTGAAGATTCGTTCTCTTTGTGGTCTCAACAAGCCTAAGTGTATTGAATGCGGCAACGTCGCTCCAGCCTCCAGGTAAGTCCCTTTCTCTCTTGCCCTTACTTAAACCAATTAGAAAGACTTCTATTGTTTAAGCCTATTTTGAGAAAATACAGTAACACTAACCTTCACTCTGTTGTTTTTTAGTATTCTTCCTTGAAGTGTGTGGAACAATGTTTGACTCTCACTATGGATTTTTTTTTTTATTGAAAATGGTAAAGATAGGGATTCTGACGCAGGTGAGTCCCTTTGATTTTCTGATAGTTTTTCATGAAGTGCAAACATGAATTGTTACCTAGAGGAAACCATAGTGAATTCTTTAATAGCAAACATTAATCCGGTTTAGTATAAGCAGTGATCTTTGAAATCTGCAGACTTTCATGTGGAAGATTCAAAAATAACATTGAATGTTTGTTTGAGTAAACAAGGAGAGGGAGGGGAAATATTTTTTGCAGGCACACAATGCAAGAAACATATGGATACAGATTCAAAGCCAGAGGTATAAATGTTACTTCTTTTTTCAATTTGCTTCAGTTGGATTTGTGATCCGTGTAACTGTCTATAGGTAAGCTTTTTACTTACCTCTCTATTTGACGTTTTCAGCAACTAATTTGCATATCCACGAAGCTTTTTTTTTCTTCATAATTTAGGGATATATTGTGTTAGTGTGTAAACATTTATCTAAATTTGCATATACACGAAGTAATTCATATATATTTGCATATACTAGATTTGACAATCAATCTTTGTTTTTTCACAATCTCTGATTTTTGAAGTGACTTGGATACTGAGAATTTTTGTAACTATGCTCTTCCTTTTCATGTCAGGATCCTTCACTCGCTAAATCATCCAAACATACTCAAGTTCTATGATTGGTTAGACTTACTAGCTAATATCCACGACATGTTTTCTTGCAGGCCAATTACTCTCACTCTTCTTTGAAAAAACGCAGCTTCTTGTGTTCTCTGTGAAGTATGTTCTTCATGGTAATTCATGGTCTCTAGTTAAGTTGTGTTCGCTTTTTTTTTTGTCTCAGATTTAGCTGTAGTAGGCAGTGGTAAGAAACTTTGCTGCTCCAAATACCTTTTCTAGCTTATCCATTCCCTGCTTTTTTAGATTTTGTTTATTCATTCTATGAAGAGAATGCTTGACGTGATGCGGAGCAACAAGCATCTCAAATTCGGATTGCAAACTTGGAGAGGCTTGTTATGTATTGGAAAGAGAGTGATCCTGCCTTTGCAGCTTTTGTTGCATCTCAGCCACAACCAACTGCACCAGCCAACACACAAGCCGCCAATGCAACAGCCACCAATACAACAGCCACCGCCAATGCACCAGCCACTGCACCAACAGGAACCGTCGCAGCCACAACAACACCTTCTTCATCCTTCTAAGTGCTTTTGTACTTTTTTTCTCTCTTATGAACATGATGAATATTGTTAATGTTTAAGGTTATGTAAGGCTTTTGATTACATTAGGGCTTTTGGTTAGCAACATTAAGGATTTGATTAGCAACATTTGGATTTATATGAATTTGATTTTGTTATTTTTAGAATAAAAATATAGCTTATTTGCGACTAATTAATAGTCTCTCAAAACCCAAATTAGTCTCAATTAAACGACTGTAATGTTTGTCACTAATTAGTCGCTAACTAACAGGCGTAGCTAAGACGTCGTAAATATACGACTCTTAATGCCAGTCTTTATGTCGTCGCTTATCTGCGATGACATAAATAAGTCTCAATACCGTCGCAAATATGCGACTACAATGCGACCATTTAATTTAGCGACCGTTTTTTAGCGACCAACTTTAGTAGTCGCAAAGAAGTCGCAAACAACGATTAGCGACCGTTTAAGGACTCGTTTGGGAGTCGCAAAAGACATGTTTTCTTGTAGTGTCTCGATAACGTCATGTACACTGTGATGAATGTGAAAGACAAATCAAAAGACACTGTGAAGTCAAGAATAGATGTTTCCAGATTTTGTGATCGGCCTGAATTTCATGTTGATGATCGAGGGAGAGCTCCATTTCCTATTTGGAGATTGAGTGCGAAAGCAAAAAAAATCTCCTTGAATGGGTCAAATCAGAGGTCAGATTTCCAGATGGCTATGTAGCAGATTTAGCTAGTTGTGCATATATCAATGCCGGCAAGTTTTCGGGAATGAAAAGTCACGACTACCATGTATTTATGGAACGATTGCTTCCGTTTGTGTTTGCAAGACTCTTGCCGCGAAACGTACATCTTGCATTATCAGGTAAATATATTTAATTTATAAATATATGTTTGTTCTATATATAAAATAATATGACTATTAATTTTATTTTATTTGTATTGTAGGCATTGGAGCATTTTTCCGTGATTTAAGTACTCGATCATTGGAGTCAAGTCGCGTCCAACTTTTGAAGGAGAATATTGTCATGATTATACACCTACCATACGAAGCAGAGCTTGGCGGTCTAGTTCAATATAGATGGATGTATCCTTTCGAAAGGTTTTTTAAACGTTTGAAAGGCAAGGCGAAGAACAAAAGATATCCAGCGGGTTCAATCGTTCAATCGTACATGAATGATGAGATATCATACTTCTCGGAATACTATTTTGCATCGCACATTTCTACAGCTATTAGAAGAAGGTATTTCATACTATATTATAATGAGAATACCATTATTTTAATAAAAGCAAATATTTTTATGAATTAATATATATACTTATGTTCGCAGGACAAGTCGGTATGATGAAGGTGAAGTTCCTGTATATCCTGTCCCGGTACCAGACATATTCACACAAGTCAGTCGTCCAAGTGGCAAAAGTAGTGAGTTCTGGTTAACTGAGCAAGATTATACATGCGCACATGCATATGTTTTGCGTAATTGTGACTATTTTCGACCGTTTGAAAGGTATACGTACATTTTTACCAAGTAATAATATTAGTTTTAAGAGCGTTCTCTCTATTAATCGACTAATGAGAATATTTTTTACATGTCGAAAAATAGTATGTTGGACGCGCAAATTCGGGATGAATATCCAGAACTCTCTGATGATGAGGTCACCTCTAAAAGAGACGAAGATTTTCATTTATGGATTCGCCAATACGTACGTCGTATATACTAACGATCTCACTTTAAATCGACTCATGGATTGGAATATATATCTTTACTAATATATATAATTTTCATTTTTGGTGGAAGCAACGAGAAGTCATCAAAATTTTCCTCCATGGGTTCATGAACTAGTGGAAGGTCCTGAAAACAAAGTCAAGTCATGGCCCATGTATTTTACTAGAGGATATATGTTTCACACGCGGAATCATGGACGCACAAGAAAGACAATGAATTATGGGGTATGTGTTCGAGGACAAAATTATTCTGAAGAATCTCACGAAGAAGATTTTTTTGGGACCGTGGACTGGTTAGCTTAAAGATCACACTTTTCTACTGTCAATGGTTTGACCCAAATGTTGGCAAAGGAATTCGTATTTCAGATGGAGGCGTTGTAGACGTGCTACAATCAAAGAGATACCAAAATTACGAACCATTTATTTTAGGTAATTTTTCATCCTATTTTCAAGTATTTGCTAGAGACGATCTTATTTTATTTCAAATTTTTGGCTTTGTACAGGGTCTCAAGCTGATCAAGTGTGTTATCTTTCATACCCGAACACAAAACGACCTCGAAAAACGTGGCTTTCAATTTGCAAAGTTAATCCAAGGAATGTTGTTCAAGGGAAGTTTACTGAAAATGATATGGTTATACTGCAACAATCTGTTGATGAGGCACCTCCGAGCATGATTGAAGAAGTTATAGTTGAGAGCTTAGTTGACGGAAATCATCAAGATGAACCTATCGATTTTGATATTGAAGATGCTGAAGGAGAAGACGAATTTCATTGTAATTCATCAACATCCGAAGATGAAGATGAAGAAGAAGGTGAAGATGAAGAATAATTATAAATATAAGTTATTTGTAAAATAATTGACTAAATTTTAATGTGTGTTTTGTAATATATTTTAATTAAATGGCTTGATGATGTGTGTTTTGGAAAATAGAATTAAACAGCCAATTTGTTATGTTTATTTACTAGTTTTGGTAAGCATTTAACGATTAATTAAACAGCCAATTTGGTAACATACTTGCCATACTTGAAAGCAGGTTCTCGGTTCGAGTCAAGTAGAGTGTTTTTTTTTCCATCATTTTACTAACAGTCACAAAACAGTCGCACTTTTGCCACCATTCTGCGACTAAACAAGATAATCGATCACATCTACCAAACGGTCACAAAACAGTCATACGTTTGCCACCCTTTTGCATCTAACACCTGAGACTTAGCGACTAAAAATGAGAATATATCACCATTTTTCAAAACAGTCGCAAGACGGTCACACTTCTGCCACTATTTTGCGTCTAACACCTGAAACCTAGCGACTACTTTGCTACATATTACCAACTCTCGATATTGATCAATCCAAATTTCTAATTTGGAGTTTGTTTATATGTTCCATTATACGTTACTAGTGTGATATGATCGAATTTAGTTATAAATACTTAACCAAAGTATAGGGTATGAGATTCAAATTTTATTGAAGTTTAGGTTGTAAAATACCCTACAAAATTGTCCAGGTATGAAAATACACGGCACAGACAGTACGGGTATGAAAACGATGTCGTTTTGATACACGTTAGCGTACACGTGTACGATGACTCATCACCGTAACGGAGTTGACTAACACCCATTAGATTGACTCCGATTTTTGCACGTTGTATCAAGTATAGGTATGAGATTCAAATTTTATTGAAGTTTAGGTTGTAAAATACCCTACGAAATTGTCCAAGTATGAAAATCCACGGTGCAGATAGTACGGGTATGAAAATCCCCTTTTCCCCACAGCACACCACCATTTAACAAAAAGCCCCCTGTAAAATCAATTTATTACATATGGTCAAGGCACTAAACCAACAAAATGAACAAACATTAGAGGTTAAGAAAGTATATGGGAAAAATGTCATTTAAATCATCAGTTTACCATTTTCGTTGGTTTAAATCATGAACTCTAGACCTGGTGATTCAAATCCTTAGTTTTATGTTGATTTTCATTTTAATCATGAATTCTCATTGACAAAGCCAATTGAGGCACATTGCTAGATGGTTAAACGGATCAATAAGACGATATCATCGCAAAACTGGCACTTCGATGCCATCAAATAAATTTTCTTCTACACTTGGTTTCCATCTTCCTCTTCGTCTGATTGCTCCGTTTAGCCAGTTAACGATGTGCCTCAATTAGCTTAGTCAACGAGAATTCGTGATTAAATTGAAAGTCAACATAAAATTGAGGATTTAAATCACCAATCCACATAAATTGAGGATTTAAATCACCAGATCCAGAGTTCATGCTTAAAACCAACGAAAATGGTAAACTGATGATTTAAATGACATTTTTCCCGAAAGTATATACCTTTATTAATTTTTTTGCCATCAGCAGCTTATCAATAACGAAAATATCCTTGAAGAAGATGATATTGCTAGCCATCTGCAAACACGGAAGTCCAAACCGTAATTAAATTCTTAATTCCTTGATAAAATTTCAAATCGACCAGCAAAAAAATCAAGAACAATATGAACATAAAAAGAAATAAAGAAGCCGAAAACTCTGAAACCGACCCATAAGAAACCAAACGAAGAGAAATGTAAAAGGTAATATGGTGATGATGATAGCCTATATCAAAAGCGAGTAAAAGGGATAAACAACGCTTCTCAATCACTGTAAACAAAGCTTCTCAATCACTGATAATGTTAGGAATTTTAGATCTGAATTAAAGAAATAGCAAACCTTCTCAATCACTGTAAACAAAGCTTCTCAATCACTGATAATGTTAGGAATTTTAGATCTGAATTAAAGAAATAGCAAACCTGGACTTCACGGTTGGTGAGAGGTAAGGAATAGGAGCCATCTGAGTAATCAATTGAACATTTGGGAAAGGCATTTTATGTGTCGTGTTGCTCCATGTATTCGGAGAGAGCGAAGCTGGTTGGTTAATGGGAGCTCTGGCTTTGGCAAGGATGATGACAGATCTAGGTTGTTAGATCCAGAAAACGAAATTGCAAGGAAAGTATTGAACATCGATTGGAGTGGTCCTTGTTGAGAGGCAAGATCTAGGGTTCAGTTGTAGACTTAGATTGGAAATCCTTGCTCGGCGGCGAGGTTTTGTGACAAGTGATGGATTCGAAAGGTTAGGGTTTTAGGAGGAAGGATACTAAGATACCGTGAAAGAAGAGAGAAGGAGAGGAGAACAAAAGTCGAAAGAGAGAGCAAAACGGGAACGAAAGAACTAGAGAACAAACAAAAAGGAAAGAGAAGAAATATCTGAATCAAACAAAGGGGAAGAATGTCGAAGGTTATGGACCAAAAGGGGGAAAATTAGGTCAAATAAACTTTTAATTGGAGCCCAGATTTTAGTCTTTTTTGTTGGAGCCCAAGTTTTTACTAAGGGCAGCAGTGAATAATTTTATTTTCCGCTAACTTTTCCATAGCTTTTCTATATGGTATGTGCTATTACAGACCTTGTTTACAAAATTAAAAAACTCAAAAAATTATACGGGAAGATATCATAGCGTTTATAAATTTAAAACGCTATAAAAAAGTTAGAGGTAAGTCAACGATTGCATAAATATATAAAACGCTATTTTTCAATGCTATTAAAGATCAATATTCTTGTAGTGAATTTATGACGTTTTACAAAATAAAATAAGTAACATGTTTTTTAGCGATGTTGTATAAATAAACAATTTTCATTTTTCAGCTTTCTTTTGTCGAAATTAATCGGTATTAGTATTGAGAGATATCAACACTTTAGGTTAAATTGATCAATTTGAAACTGTCTGTTTCAGGGGGATTTCTGATCATTTAAAAAGTTTGAAGCAGAAACTGTAAATAGAGAGAAACCACAGACTAAAGTGCAAAAAAAAAAAAGGTGCAACTCGTTTTCATAATTCCGATTTCTGAGGGCTTGTTTTTGACAATTCGAATCTTCATCTCTTAACCCTAGCCCCTCGTATATATATGCGTTTTAAAGCCCCAACAAATTAGAAGCCGAATCTCTTGTCAATTTAGGGTTTTTGGTGAGTTTTCGATACCTTTCTTCACCATCTCCGTTTTGATCAATTTTTGGGGAAACTTGTGACCGGATTTTATTGTGACTTAGGTTGATTGTGTTTCTCCGTAATAGAGCTTTAATTCGGGTTCTTTTTAAGCCTTGGTATAAGAGGTTTGTAACCTTCATCTTCTTCCTTCTTCAATTTTCTTCTTTCTTCAATTTTCTTCCATAAAAGTGAGCTTGAAGCTCTTTAATGGTGGATTTTCTTTCAGGAAGAATTAGGACTCAAGATATACCTTGTTAGAATGCTCTCGTTCATATGGATCCAACGCCACTGACATCTCCTCAAACGAAAGTCGGATTGATCGGAATTTGATTGGTATTTCGATTTTGTTGATTCATAGTCAAATCGGGATTTCGTTTCACCGGTTCTTAACATTTTAAAATCGAAATCTGAATTGCTTGAGTTTTGAATTTTAACCGATCGTAATTCGGACCGGTACAGCTGCTTTTACACCGGTTTTAGAAAATCTGATACCTGATTAAGATTGCTCTTGAAATTATCTTTCCGATGGTATAGTGTACAGATTTTTCTGATAGACGGTTGAATTTAGGTGAATTAATTGGTAGTTTGGGGCGTGTCTAGAATTGCTGTTAACCACTCGTTAGATTTTCAGGTGAGTTCTAACTCCCTTATTAGTTATTATACATTTGTGTAATATTTAGGAATATGTTAGAAAGAAGAAATGATTTTTTTTTGTACTTTTGAATTCTGAAAATTAACTATCTGCGTTAATGTTATTATTTTGAATATGATTTTGATGATGAAATATATTATTCTATTAAGAGTGGTATCAGCATGCTATGCTGATTTAGCTAGCTCTATTGAGCAATCTGTGGCGGCCGGCATCGCCGACAGATGTATTCTGTATTTAGTTAGTTTAGTGATATTGAGGTCGGTTAGTGTCGTTGACTGTACTTCCTTATTACCTCGTTAGGGGCCAGCATCCCTATCGAGTATATTATGTATATATTTTGTTAGTATATGGTTTGGGTCGACCAATGCTGGAGTTTTACCATTCCGAAGTTGCATTGCTAGATATATGGTCGTTCTGTTCTGATGTTATTATTCTGTTTGATGATGTTATTCTGTTTTGATTATCCGATTATGTATTTCTGATAATATATGTTCGGTTGTGATATATATCCGAGAGTTGTTCCTCAAGAGGCAAGACCTGTTGCTCTGGGTGGTCGAGGTGTCCCTATTGTTCCAGGAACTCCTCCACATGTTCCTAATGGTCCTCAATTTCCACCACCTCCTCCACCGAATGTTGCTCCGATGGAGGATATGCGACAAATGCTTCAGTCTATGAGTCTGATGTCTGCTCATAATTCGGCCATCCAACAGACTTTGTTGCAACAGCTACCTTAGGCAGCTGTTCTACAGCCGGCTCAACAAGGAAACCCTCAACCTGACTATTGGGTGTTGCAGGATAGGTTCAAGAAGGAAGTGGGCTTACAGAAGTTTGAAGGTTCTTCTGACCCTATGGAAGCAGAGAAATGGCTTGATCTTGTTAAAGAGGCGTTGGGGTATTTGGGAATTCCTGAGGCTTTTAAGTTACGATTGGTTACTCATCAGCTTGATGGAAATGCTCAACATTGGTGGAGAAGCATTGTTACTTCCCGTCCAGGTGTGGAGTTGACTTGGGATGATTTTCAAAGGGCATTTATGGATCTGTACTTCCCAGAGTCTGTCAGATCAAACTTGAGAAGGAGGAGCATGTAGCTGACGCTTAGAGTTTTTGTTTCAGTTGTAGCGCGAGACTTGGTAGTTCTTTCAGTATTTTAAAACACTTTTATTTCTCAAATTTGGATTTTATGTATTTTGTGACTCTTAGAAGTGTTCTTTATTATTTTATTAAAGTTCATAATTTATTTAAGAATTTTCGGGTCGTTACAGTTTTGATATGAATAATAATATTTTTTCCGTTTCGTTTTATTTGTCGTTTTAAAGTAAAAATTTTGTTTCATATTACTTGTCGTTTTGTATTTACAACAAAAATTTATGGCAAATTTCCTAGTTTTAGTCTTACTTTTTAAGTTTATTAATTATTTTTATCAAACAAAATAATGTATTAATTAGTAGTAAAACAATAAATTTATTTATTTTCTTAATTTGTGTGAAATAATTTAGAACAACAAGAAATGTCAAACGGCGGGAGTATCTGAGAGGCCCGGCCCGAAGCAGAAGCCCAACAAGCAAGGGCTTCTGGCAGCAGATTTTTTATATAATTTTAGGGGCATCAAATTTGAGAATGTCCTTTAGTGTAGTGGTAAAGTGCTGTGCTGTTTTCCATCAAAGCATGGTTCGAACCTCTTCAATTTTTTTCCCCAAAATCGATTTTTTTTTTCTTTTTCAAAAAAATAAATTTAAAACGTTTCCCTTTCCATTTGGTAAATTAATTAAAATTAAACAATTATTTATTAGACAAATTAACTACATAAACCTAATTTTCTCTACCCATGACGATTTCTATTCTTCCTCTTTGTCACTATCAAAACCCTATAAAACAATTTCAGCTTCTTCTCCATCTTAATCTAATAATCAAGGAGGATTATCTTTCGTCATGAAGAAAACTGATGTTTCTGTTATTTTTTGCTTGTTTACAATTTTTTCTATTCAACTCTTATAAACAAATAAAATTTCATGGTATTTTATTTTGCAAAAAAAAAATTTTTGGAGCATCATTTTTGAATTTGCTTTAAGCATCAAATATCCTCGGGCCGGCACTGGTATCTGATATCATATATCTACCAGCTTTAAAAGTTCATGGAATTAATAAATAGAAAGAACATGCTGAAACTATTTATTCCATAAAAAGTATAATTTTCGAGAAATATATATTCCAAACCATTTTATTAGCCTCAGTCCGTTCTATTTTTAGATATTATTAAAGTTAGAAAATACACAATGAGGTCTTTTAATTTTTCTATCAACAATACGAAGACACAACTTCTTGATATCTTCGAGCATACTAATTAAAAAATATAGCCTCCCATGTAAAAGCCAGTATAACTATAATCCCCTGAGCCACACGATGGGGCCTCAATTCCGCTGCCTGGAAACTTCTCAGCAATATTTTCAGCTGTTCTCTGTCCTGAGCCACCACCGAAACCGTGTGGATCATCATCATCTAGATTCCACAAGCTGCCCCACAAGTGACCTTCATCGATCATAGAGTGGTCGGATGAGGTTGTTGCAACAATTTGAGGCATAGAAAATTGGTCATCGAAGACACTAGCCGGGTAATACAAAGCGGACTCTATGTTTTGATCGTTGTCGATATTCATGTGGTCTTGGGGCACTAGTTGAGACTGATGATTCTGTTGTTGCGGTTTAAGATCCATTTGTTGTTTCCGGGATAGAGATCTTTTGACTTTGTCTTGCTTCGAAGAAATTTTTTCTTTTTTCTTGTAATGTGTTCTCCAATAGTTTTTGATTTCATTATCTGTTCGACCTGGTAAATATCTTGCGATTGTAGACCACCTATATATATTTTGTGAAAATGATATGTAAATTTTCATCAAGAGATTGAATACCTACACAAACTAAACATAGGTACACTAATACAAATGTATGATTATAAACAATATTTTAGTGTTACACCAAAAAAAAAAAAAAAAAACAATATTTTAGTCAAAACTTTGGAGTAATTGTATTTGTTTCTTTATAGAAAAGCATTAATAAATATATATTATCAATCTATTATGTAAGGTGTGAGTTTACTATTAACTAGAGAATTTCAAGAAAAAAAGAAAAAGAAAAACAAAGAGTAGCTTACTTGTTACCCCAAAGGGAATGAAGTTCAAGGATGATTCCTTCTTCTTGAGGAGTGATTTGTCCTCTCTTAAGCCCTGGCCTCAAGTAGTTCACCCACCTTAGTCTACAGCTTTTACCACTTCTTTTCAAACCTAGTTTTTAATTCCATGGAAGCAATGGAGCACTATAAATGGGTTTGACATATAGCATGTATATATATAATTTTAATGCAACTTGATGATCTTTATCTATATATGTAATATATATGAGTATGAATCTTTCCTATTTTAACATTATCTCGACCAAAATGCTGGAATAAATAGGTAAATATATATTTAAAATGTTCCCAAACTGATCAAAGTCAACTCCCGAAAACAGGGAATCATAAGATCATCTTTTGATTTCTGGAAAAAATAAACCCTAAAAGCTCTCCACCATGAAATATTGTCCTCTTTCTTTTTGTGAAAAGTTTGAGACTACTTATAGATTAAAAAAAAATGTAAGATTAAAGAAAACAGGAATGAAATATGTAACCACGAGCTTAATAAGGTCAACTATACCACATATCGTATATGATCATCTCACACTTATCATTTTTAATCGGCATGAAAGCATGTTTTATTTAGCTCTATTTAATTATTATAAATTAAATACAAATTACATTGAAAAATACTCAACTAGAAAGAAGATCAAGATCACTGGTATAGTTCGATATGGATTCGCTTACTAATTTGTCTACGAGATTATGATCAAGCAAAGATGAAGATTATCTAAGTTCTTATAGCCATGATTGAATAAAAATAGTTACCTGCACACTTAGCAACAGTGCTCCATCTTCCTTCACCATGCGAAGTAACATACTCCGCCAGAAGCTTATCTTCTTCAAGTGTCCATGGTCCCTTTCTACATCCTTGTTGTTGATGTTGTTGTTGATAAAGATCATGATCATGCTTTTGATGATGGCCTTGAACTCCCCAATCAAGCATACCTGTTAAATTCTAAAAATCCTTTCACACACAAACCAATACTATAACTTCTGTCTGTGTGAGACTGTTGCTTAATTTGCTCTTCTATGTGTATGTTTCTATGTTTGTGTCTCTGCTTGAACATGTGCGTGTGTATATAAATAGTATGTGTATCTCTATTTATGCTTGACAACAGTCACTTCTTACTTTTTGTGGGTGTTTGATTCTATATATTATATTTCATTTACTTTACTTAGTTAACCATGTAGCATATGCATTATCATTAGCCTCATCAATTATAAATTTTTTTACTTAAGTTCCTCTATCACGGAAACAATCTTGAGAAGCCACTATTCTTCGAACAAGTGTCGGTACCATAATGAGAACCAGCTCATTATTTTCTTACCCAATTAAGATTTTACAAGTACCCTCTTACCAAATCCATACATAGATCCGTACAATAAAATTATTCGTCATCACCCAAAAAAATATTCTTGAACAACAAGGTTTTGTCTTTGGACACTTAAAAAGTTTCTTATAGACATCATCACAGAGGCATAACTTTGTTCTAGATTCAGTTCTTTGGGGAAATATATATATATATATATATTTTTTAAATATATTAGTGGGTTGCCTTTAAATTCTCGAAAAGAACTTATCAGCCAGTAGAATCTCAACATCTGTGTAATAAAATAATGGAAAAATAGGCATGCTTTAAGAGTAATTTGTGATTAGTTTATAAATATAAAAATATAATTATGCTCTAAATAATGGGCCTAATGAAGTGTATACTAAATCGGTCAATAAAAAATCAGAAAATGCCTTCCATACAATAAAGTATGGGATGACTCACCTTGTATCCATGTGGCCTTTCGGCTATACGTATCAACATTTATGGCAATGTTAGGGTTTTCTTGAATTGGTTAAACCGATTTAACCAAACATTAAACGATCTTCTGTCTTTTTTTTTTTTTTATCCTAGTGTTTTAAACTTTTATCGTTCAAGATTTGAACATGAAAACTAGATTAAGAAAAAAAAGGTTCCTTCAACCCTCAAGATTTCAATTTCCTCGTAAAATTTAAAAATGATCTTTGAAAACAAGTTAATTTATCAGAATTATGATTTTTTTTTTTTGTACTTTTCTAATCTTTATCTTGTGCTTTTGGATTATTCCTTTTGAAGAAATTTTTTAATTAGAAAGCTTTTTCATGTAGCTTTTACTTTACATTTCGAAGTAATTTCTTTGGTCGATGCTATCAGATAAGCATCAAAGACAAAATCCTTAATGACGTAAGAACTAGGATCATTTTTGCTATAAAAAAAGTTCATAAAGCTATCCTCACAAAGACTCTATACGTATGGACTACATTTTAAACAAATATGCACAACAATAATTTGAGAAAAAATAATAATAATAATTTGAGAAATAAAAAAGCACCCTAAATTTTGTGTGCATGTCTTTATATTAAGTCAATATTAGTAAAAAATATATATAAAAATATATAAGTAACAAATACAAAATCTTATAAAAAAGGAGATGTCTGGTCACACCAAATATACAATGGGTTCAACTGGTTTAAATGCAATGGGTAAGACCGTAAGAGGATGAATTAATACAGGAGTTTGTGCAATATAGACATAGGTTGTCTTAGCAACTGCGGTCTGCGTGAGATAGAAAAGACCTAAGGTTATACACTTATACTGGTCTGTTCATAAGGAATCAGTCTGTAACAATTTTTATCCAATGCATCTGATTTCTTCTTTTTTAGCTAGATAATCAGTTTTTTAGTCTTTATTATTGAGATGCATGTGATTTGTTACCTTCTCATTAATTTTATCTGCATTACGAATTTTTCTAATAGATTATCATTCAGTTATATTGACTATTCGACTAAATTTTTATCATCATGTATCCTCAAATTGTTGAACCTTTTCTTGTGTATGTGTATATTAATATATATATATATATATATATATATATATATATATATATATATATATATATATTTATGGATGTATGTATGTATGAGTTTGTTTCGAACAAGATCCACAAATCGAGAAAAAACATATTGAAAGACGAATCATGAAACAATTTCTTTGGAAAACTAACTGAAATTGCCAGGTTGTCTTAGAATAAAATATTTACTTTTTTCTGCTAACATACAATATTTTACACTTAATACTTAAAATAAAAACAAGTAAATTTATTTGAGATGATAAAGCTTCTAGAAAAGATTATCATGGTACATGGTGCTTGACCCTTTTAGTAGTTCATCACTTAGATTGCTTACTATTTTAGCACTATTTATGTTGAAAGGTAGAAAATAAAGATCTTCAGCTATTGTTTAGCAACGTTTCTTTTTTTAGGTTTCTTTAAAAAAATATTACAGTCCGCTGGTTCACAATTTCTTCATATCAAAAATATGTTATATAAATCAATTTTCGTGTTGATATTAGAATTTGTAACTTTAAAACATATTTTTTATTGAAAAGACATTTTACATGTATATATAAAATTTCTTGATTAATAAAAAAATTATTTACAAAGAAAAACCGGCAAAGAATGTATCAATAATATAAGCAAAAAGGTCATGAGGCACCTCTTCCTTGAAACCATCCACGAAACAGCTCTCTGTATTTGATCAGATCATTGAACCGTATTTATTAGATGCTGTTTTAGATTGTCTTGTCTATCATGCAGAGGAGATGATTAGGAGGATTAGTACCTTGTTCGTGATTGTAAGATGAATCATTTGGTCTATTTCAAGAAAATTTTCTCCAAAACCTAGCAATAAAAAACTTATTAGGTAAGACACATACACTAAGATGAAGCATACATAATCATAAAGGCTTAATTAATTATTTATATGGATCAATTATTTGAGTTCTATAAGAAGAAACTTCGACATGTGACTATGTGAGTAAACGGACTGTCAGATAAAGTTCCTATTAATGCAGTATTTGGAGTAAGTTTAAAGAAAGGTTTGAATATCTGATTTAAATTAAGTTTAAGTAAGTTAACCACTGTAGGAGAATCTAATAAATTACTATGTGATTTATATGTTTGGTAACATCTTAATTTCATTAAATTATTTTATCATGATTACAACAATTATACTGATTTGATTAATTGTGTCAGATTATCAAAATATTAGGCTTTAAATGATGGTATAATCAAGAAAAAACACATAATATATATTTATATATGTACATTTAAATCATAAAGTTATATATATTATAAATTAGTAAGCCTTAAATCATTGTTGTGACTTCATAAGATTGTAGAGCTGGTCGACACCTCATTCGTTTAAATAAATAGATGTTTCTATCATATTCCATACCAGGACCACAAGTTAATTAAATACAGTAGTTTTATAAATTAAAGAAGTCAAAAATGATATTTTCTTACTAAAATAAATACAAAGACTTGAGGTTCGAGATAGAGCAAAGACCCATTGAAAGAAGTTTCAAAACTTGTTGCTAACGTGTATAAGTCCAGCTACCTTACTATTACTATATTTTTTAATCATTCAGTCTTGTTTTTACAATATTAATTATTTAGTATAATGTCTCAAATATTAAAGTATATGAAATATTAAAATTTAAAACAAGAGAATGTTATTTAGTGTGTGAACAAGGCAAGGCTCACGGGAATTTTTGTCTATTTGACAATATGTTTGTACATTTTGAATCGTTGATGTGTCTTTGACTCATTATTTATGTTAATGCTTATACATCGTTATTAGACTTTACCATTTGGGGGTATTTATCTCAAGTATATGTGTACATTTTGAGAATATTGAATATCAAATATTGAATACGGCGCTAAGGATATTTTGGGATGTCAAAGATGGTTCTAAACACTTATAGGTGTTGCACAAGTTGCTTAAGTTACAAGATCAAAATTCTCATTCTCTTTGTTGAAATAAAAGATGGTAGGTCTACTTTCTTTTGGAACGATACTTGGGTAAACAGTTGAAGAAAACAGGTGATTTGGGTACTTGATGGTTTGGCATTTAAAGTAAAACAATGGTGGCTGATGTTGAACCACCAATAGAGTGGTTGGTTCGTGGGCAAATAAGCAAATACTTCTAGTCCTTCATGGCCAAGAAACAGGCGAATACACTGCCAAATTCAGTGGTGGGTCATGATATTCATAAGTGGAAGCACGTGGAGGAAATTTCTATGATTTTTTCTCCATTACGAAGACGTGGGAACAGATTCGCGTGAACATTGTTGATTCTGAAAATCACACAATGAATTTGTTTAATAGGGGAAAACAAATTCAATTATTCTCTCTTGTAAATTCTGATCAAAGATTAAATGAAAAGATGAACTTTATTGTTTAGAGACAAAGTTAGGGTTTTGCTCAATAACAATTAGGGTTTTTAGTGCCAAGTTTCGGATCCCTTGAATAGAGGACAAACTCCTCTATTTATACAAGTTTAGGGCGGTTTTAGAGATAATTTAATCTTCTAAATCTTCGGAGCTTGAATCTTCCCTTTTCCTTTATTTTCGTGATTCCCCTTTATCCAAGAGGAAAACTTCTTATTCTTTGATGAGGAAGTCGCTTGCAGGCGATCTCCCGTCTTTAAGTCGAGCTCTCCTGACGATCTCCCGCTTCGGCCCATTAACAGGCTAAACCGGAATTCCCCGGTTTAACTGAATTCTCAGATTAATTCGTAATTCGTCCGGTTTAAGCCGGTATTGTTGGAGGTGCTAATTCCTGCACCAACAAAATAGTTCCCCCCAGTTCGGAAAATCCGAATGCTTTAATTCGGAATTTCCGAATTAGGGAAATGAATATTCGTCTTATACCTTAGGAAGGTGCGAATTAAATGCGAGATTTTCTCGTATCGTTTCGAATTCTTGGACGTATCAGTTTTCTTTTGACACGTGTCACCGCTTGTCGTCCAAACAGGCGCGTGGAGTTCGGAAAGCGTAGAATCCCGTAGATATAATGATTACTCTTCCTAGGTCTGCCGCCCACTTTTGCCTACTTAAATCTGATAAGTCTCTCCCGTTTTTTATTTCCAGCCGCTTGCAAGAGAGAAAGCAAAGGTAGTTTTTTGCGCCCTTTTTCCCTTCTTTTAACAATTCTCTGTTTTATTTTTGCGACTTGCTTTTTATTCCGACAATGGGTAAGGGAACCGGAGCCTCCTTCTCTTCTAACGGTGAAAACACTAAACTGATTCGTCGCAACTCTCGTCAGTGTCGGAATCCTGGGGATGAAGCTGAACCGAGCTAGAGCAACCAGATCAGAATTCCTGAACCGGTTGACGGGTTGGACCAGAAAAGGGATGGTGGTAGTTCAACCGCCTGTAATGATCCGATGGATGAATCCGAACAGTTTGAAGTGCTGATCGACCTTACGGAGGGGCCCTTTGATCGTCCTACGTATACCGAGGCTGAGTTGGAAGCGAGACTTGTTCCCCTTGGTGTCTTTATCCGC